CTAGAGGAAGCATTGACCTCCGATGACCGGAGGCGACAAGGATGTCCTCGGGGCCATACCCAAGAGAGTGGAGACGCCCGAAGCGGGAGACGCTCCCCAAAGTGAAGAGTGTATCGAAAAAATACTCAGATCGTGACAACAAAAAGGAAGTACTTTCCAATGACCGAAGCGAGGAAGGGACAGAAGAAGGGTCGGGTGGAAGTACGAGTCATCCTGCGACCAAGAACCGCAAGATGGAAGGAAGTGGTGCGACTGGCACCAAATCACCACCCATGACACCACAGAGTGTAGATAGTTTAAGGTCAGTCTTAGATACCTGGCACCGGGAGACCTCCAAAGCCGCCTGGAGACACGACGACCACAAAGGGATCAGTCCCAAGAAATGCGGGAGGGATCCCAGAGTCCCGATCCAGAAAGAACAAGAAGAGCAAGGAAAGAGAGGTTAAGATCCCCTTCCAGAAACAAAGCCATCTACCCCAAGAGGCAATCTCCCGCCTACAGACCACCACGCAACGACAAGGAGGGAATGGAGATCATAACCATCGCGCGGGGCAGAAAATGGCCGAGATTAGAAGGAGACCGCATAGCTCATTGTCTCTGCGTCCAACGTAGAGTACCAACTGACATTGTCTTCTTGCTTTCCGTGCTGGCCAAAGAAGAAAATGCGAAAGACCCCTTGCTCATCTCATTTAGAACCGCCAAATTCAAGGTCACTCGGGCCCTAATAGACAATGAAAGCTCTGCGGATATTCTCTTTTACCCAGCGGTCAAAGGAATGAAGAAGAGCGTCCAAGACCTCCAGCCCTCCAACACCAGTTTGGTAGGATTCTTAGGAACAAAGGTTCGCATCCTTGGGTCGATCACGCTCAAAGTGACCATTAGGGGGAAGGGGGGGGGGGGGGGGTAACAAATCCTCGCATAGTTTGTATGCTCCAACCCAAGCCAGTGTCTCTCCAGCAATGGCCTATAGGTCTCTAGGGTCGGGATGGTCCTGTCAAATTCTCTAAGTTTTAGTCCGCGTCAACTCGTGTTCCAGTTCTCGTCAGCGACTAGCAAATGGGTTTTCTCGATGGGGTCCTAGCATTTCCAAGGTAACCCAATATACTTCCGTAAATGGTCACCAAGAATTCAAATAGTTACTTCGTGAGTTGAAACATTACCAATTTGGGTCCGTATTTGGGGGATTCCTCTTGAATACCATTCGTTTGAAGGGCATGAATAGATTGTAGGTACTTTTTGGATCTTCCTCTATGGATGGATAATACTACAAGAGTGGATAAGACTAATATTTGGGGGATTCCTCTACCAGTTCTTCTCATCATTGGGAACCCTACAGTGAGTTTTGTTGAGGCGGTCAAAGGATCATCAGTTATTACCGAAAGTTCTTTAGCACCTCAGCTAGAGACTGGGTGACCTAATTGATCAGATTCTTCTGGTAGATTAGTTGCTAAGGCTACTCCTGTAGGAAAAGAGAACAGTAACCCTAGGACTACAGTTGGGGGGTATTAGCAAAGAAGAAACCTCCAACCCCATATATTCTCCCTGCCACTAAGTGGGGAGAGTAGGAAAACAACGATGAAGCTCCCCATATGGAATACCAAAGGCTTTAAGGACTCTGATAAGAATAAAGCGGTATAGTCTATAGTGAATAAGAAAAGTATAGATATAGTATGAATTTTAGAGCCAAGAACTAGAGCTTGTGATTCAGATGAGATCATAAGTAAACTTTTCTCAAGGTAGGAAAAAAATGGAAACAACTATGTTGGTTTGAGGAAATTATGGATCTTATGGAAGTTTGATGTCAACTTAAGAGACTGGATAGTTCATATCAGTATGTACATGCACTGGTGAGTTCCGATAGTCCTTTATTTGTCTCTTTCATCTATGCCTCGAATGAGGAAAGCAAGAGGTGAAAGCTCTACAGTGATTTGGAGAAAATTTCAGTTGTGCAGTATCCCTGGGCTATTTTAGGGGATTTTAATGCCATAAATGGTCAAGAAAATGCATATAATAGCCCTGACCTTAATAGTAGCATGGCAAATTTCATACATTGACAATCTCAACTAAAACTTATTGACCACAAGAGCACAAGTCCCTGGTTTACCTGGATCAACAAAAAGATAAAAAAAATCTCACAGTAAGAAGACTAGATAGAGTGTTTGTTAATCTGACATGGATGGAAAAGAATTCAAATAGTGTAGTTGACCTCCTGGATCACTCAATCTCAGACCATTGCCCTATCTGTCTGGATACAGATAGTCTCATCAAAACCCTCTCAAAGCCCTTTAAGTTCTTTAAGATCTGGATCACTCATCCTAAGTTCTTTGATTTGGTAAAGGAGGCATAGAGTTTGAAAGTAGGGGGTCACCCCTAGCCAGGGTGTGTAAGAAATTGAGACGTTTGAAAAAGTTATTAAAGCAGTTGAATAGAGAGGAGTTTTCTTATATCAGGGAGAGAGTGAAACTTAAGGAGTCAGAGGTGAAGTATGCACAAGTAGCTGCTCTTTCATCCCCTTCTCCAGAGTCATTTATTCAAGTTAAAAAGAAAACTGCTGAATTAAAATTGTAAAAGGAATCAGAAGAATCGTTCTTGAGGCAGAAGTCAATTGGTAGAAAACAGTTGTCTCCTCGTTGTATGATCAAAGTGGATCTAATGAAACCTTTTGACTCTCTTGACTGGGGATTTCTGTTAAGGGTTCTTAAAGCTATGGGATTCCCCTTGGACTTTATTAAATGGACAACTATGTGTATTACTATACCTATGCTCAATGTCTGCTTTAATGGAGGTGTTGTTGGGTATTTCCTAGCTAAAAAGGGTCTGGGGCAGGGGGAACCCCTCTTCCTTACCTATTTGCTGTGGCCATGGAGAAATTTAGCTGTCTGATGAAGTCTGAAGTTAAAGAAGGAAAAATGTCATTCCACCCTATGTGTAAACGAATTGGATTAACAATATCATGTTTGTAGACGACTTGCTTTTATTTTTTGATGGTACTAACTCTGGTATCCAGTGTATACAAAGGGTCCTTTCTCAATTGCGTTCATTATCAGGTATAATCTCTAATCCATCGAAGTGTGAATTGTATTGTGGAGGGCTTCCTGCTGAGTGGATGCAAGGTATGGCGCATAGGGCAGGCACAAGCTTGAATATTGTTAGTCAGATATCTGGAAATCCCTCTCATCCCTCATAAGCGGTCTGTTAAAGCATGTCGACCTCTAATAGAAAATATCACTAATAAGATTCAGAATGGGGGGGTTTAAGTTATTGAGTTATACTGGAAAGTTACAGCTTGTGCTGGTAGTGATCTATAGCATGGTACAGCTTTGGATGAAAGTTTTTATCTTGCCAAAGAGAGTGGTGACTGAAATAGAAAAGCTATGCAGTGATTTTCTTAGGGGAGTTGGGGTTGCAGGAAGAAATAGAGCATGTGTTGCTTGGGATCCAGTTTCATATCCTAAAAAGGAAGGGGGTTTGGACATCAGAGACCTCAAAAGTTGTAATTTGGCATGTATAGTTAGACATTTTTGGGATTTGCTTACAAAGCAGGGATCTCTATAGGTAGCTTGGATATGGGAATGGGAGTATAGGCTCCATAATTGCATTTCTGGAGTTCAAGCGGTAAAACTGGTTCCTGGTTATGGCAGAAGACTCTTAAAACAAGGGGGCAAGTTGGAGTTAAGCTAGTGGTGGTTGATGGTGTTCGTCAGTGGAATGGGAAGATTCTTGCAAAATACTCCACTAAGTTGGTTTGAGAGGAATTCAGGCCAAAGGCAGCAGAAGTAACCTGAAACAAATTTATATGGAAGTCTCCTTTTATTCCTAGAAATCGGTTCATTTGTTGGCTTGTCATCAGATAGTTCATCTCTACCAGTGACAGGATGCTCAAGTGGGGGTATCAAGGAATTACAGCCTGTGTGTTCTGTTATTGTCGAATAGAAATACATAACCATCTGTTTGCATAATGCACTAGGTATAAGTCTCTTTTTTCAAGACTATTCTCCAAATTCTCAAGAACATTACCTCTGATTCATGGAACGAAGAGTTTGAGGTGGGCAGAGCACATTTTCTCATAATCTGCAGTTCACTCGAGGGCAGGGAGGCTGCTATGGCAATCAATGATTAGTAATCTGTGGAGGGTCAGATGCTTGACGAAATTTGGCGGTAAACTACCTAGTATTGAGGCAATGATTGGCCAGATTAAGGATGAGGTTGCTACTCTATCTAATGTTGACGAGTTAGTTGTGTACTTGTGATTCTCTTTGTGTTTAAGGCTCTAGGTTCTTGGTTAGGGGTGTAAGTTCGACCCGAAAACCCACTGACCCGTCCCGTCCCTATAGGTCAAGATGGGTCAGTTTGTCTACATAGTCAGATTACGGACATGTCATCTGTTGTCCTAGTAAGGGTCGGGAAGGGTAGGACCAATGGCGGATCCAGGGGGTGGCCACCTCGGGCCACGGCCAAGCCCTCCTCTGGATCCGGACTAGTATAGTCCTTATGAGTTTATCGATTTTAGTCATTTGGCCTAGTGTTATTTTATAATAAGATTGTGTGTAATTAGGAAAAGGGTTAATATATTTGTATGGCCTGAACTTTGACCAAAATCAACATCTTGGCCAATCTTTTCGATCTATAACATCCTGGCCCAAACTATACATCAAAATAACTAATTTGGCCAGACCCAACGTTTGACCGTTATCTTGGATGGTCAAACGTGTTGACTAACGGTCAACGCGCCACGTCATTGCCAAATCAGCACTTTTCACTTAAAAGTTTTTATATTTTCCACCTATTACTATTTATTTTTTCAATTTTGAATTTTGTTTTTTTGAAAAATGATAAATGGATTTTGGGGAAAACCAGCAGCCCCTCTCTCTCACCTTCCTTCTCGCCGCCGACTTTCCTCCCACGTCGTCGTATATCGTCTGCACGGAGATCCTCCTCCTCCTTCAAAACCTAAAAAAACGTTAGGGTTTTCCCTCTGCATCGATCGGCGGCCCTGAAAAATGGATCTAGAAGTTGTTGGCCGACACGCCCTGCTCTTCGACGACGATGCCATGGCGGAGTTCACCAACTCCTCAAGTGCCCTCGTCGAATGGAACTCTCTCTCAATCGACCACTACGATGTTCGTCATCTCCTTACCGACCCTCTTCCACCGCGTGCCCGTCGGCGACACCATCAGAAAGATGCTCTTGAATCGGAGCTAGATCTCGAGCGCTACCAGGATTTTCTGTCGATTCCCGATGAGCAAGGTCAAATTTTCTTTGATTCTGCTACTTTACAACTTTGCAGATTTGTGATTGTATTCTCTTGGATTTGCTTTTATTGCTCTTTGCCCAAGTAGTAGCTTTTCCCCTTAAAGAACACAAAACGTGCATTCTCTCTCCGACGGCAGATTATGTTAATTTTGTCGATTGCTGCCTCGTGCTGCTAGAACTTATCCTTCCTTACACAGTACAACGAATCAGGGGGTGAAGAACTACCCGAATAGGAACGCGCGACGGTGGGGGAAGATTGTGGATCTGCGATGGTAACCGAAAGCGACGATTGGGGATTTTTTTTGTTTTGTTGGGAGGATTACGGCGGTGGCGAGCTTAGAAGAACGCCCACCGCTGTATTTTCGTCGAACGAGGGAGGAAAGTCGGCGGTGAGAAGGAAGGTGAGAGTGAGGGATGCGGGTTTTTCCCTAAATTCATTTTTCATTTTTAAAAAAAAAATTCAAAATGGAAAAATAAATAGTAATAGGTGGAAAATATAAAAGATTTTAAGTGAAAAGTGTTGATTTGGCGGTGACGTGGTGCGTTGACCGTTAGTCAACGCGTTTGACCGTCCAAGATAATGGTCAAACGTCGGGTCTGGCCAAATTAGTTATTTTGATGTATAGTTCGGGACAGGATGTTATAGATCGAAAAAATTAGCCAGGATGTTTATTTTGATCAAAGTTCAGGCCATACAAATATATTAACCCTTAGGAAAATGGGTCAAATGAACATATTCAAATCACAACTCTAAATTTAGCTTAGAAATTCTAACTCGAATGATTCTCGTCTAAAGAAAAACAAACAATGATACCTAAAATTCTAAAAGACTAAAAGAAATATGAGTTTGTTCTCTTGAAAAATTACTAGAGCAACTGGTGAAAATAAGGATGGACACACAATACAAATTGATTAGTCGATTGATGTGTCTAGTGTTGACATTGCCCGTTTCAACAGCTACTATGGAGAGAAGCTTTTTAACAATGAAACAGGTGAAAATGATTTACGCAACAAAATGAGCGATGAATTTCTCGCCGATTGGTTAACTATTTTATTTGAAAGAGAGTATGGTATTGGTATGGATGTAGATTTCCTTATTGATGAATTCGTTATATTAAAAGATCGACGTGTGCAATTGATATTGTTAAAAAACTATAGTTTTTTTACGGTATCTATGTTCTAATGAAATGTGGCCCAGTGCTCTACTATGTCCTGGATCCGCCGCTGGGTAGGACAACTTAGGGACAGATCACTTTTTGACCATGTGACCATTAGCAACAACAAATATCTCATACCACATTGGATCTCTTTGTAAAGTATTAAAAGTTTAGGTACTAAATTGTAAAAATAAAAAATTTTGGTACCAAAACGTAATTTTATCATCAAAATTTACGGACTTATTTGTAAAAAAATTAGGTACTAAATTGTAAGAAAAATAATTTTGGGTACCAAAACGTCATTTGTAAAAAAGTAGTGTGTTGATAAGGGTCGACCCACTGACCCGACCCGTCCCAACCCTTGAGGGTCAGACAGGGTCAAGAAGGAGACAGAGACGGTACGAGTCAGTTATACATCTTGACCCTTCAAGGATGGGTCAGAGATGAATCAGTGAGTGACGGGTGAGATCAATTTTCAGCCCTACTTAGCAGTAAATAGATAGTTTGTTATTAGAGTTTTATTATATCCTTATTGGTGAAGGGTGTAGGCTGTAGCCACATAGTAAACAGTTTTTGATGATAAACAAATACCAACTAATTCATATAAAAAAAATGAACGAAAATTACTATGCGTGGATGTTACCGACCATATCTGCTCGCTCCCATGCTTTCATGGACAACGTTTTGCACAAGATGTGTAACTAATTATTCCATTATGCAAAATTATTCTCCAAGTAAAGTAAAAGTGTTCTTTTGTCAGAAACAATCAAAATGTTAAAAAGTGTTCTAAAACTGAAACATTATCTTTTTCATTTCTTCCTTGACAGAATACTTTGACTAAAACTTGCCTATTTGCACTTTATCTTTAGGACAGCTTTGACTAAAGTCTATGAACAAAATGTCAAATTCGTTAAACTCCTTATATAAAGTGAAGTGAACTATAAAGAATAATTTCACACAGAAAAACTAAAAAGGATGAATAAATTAAGTTCGGATTGGGCTCATGTCAACTAAACTATATTCAGGTAGTTGATTAAGTAGTTCAATTTATATAATACATGTTTGAATATTTCCCAACTCTAGTCATTGGTATCTAGTCATTGGTATCTTGAAAAGTATCTTGACATCTTTATCGTAGTCTTTGGCAATAAGAAATTTATATATGTATTCCATATTTTATAATCAAGAAAGTTATTTTTTAAATTAACTATCAATTATAATAGACATGTTCAAATTGCAAACCCACTGTAAAGAAGAAAACTTGTAAGAGTATAATTTAAAATTCATGTCTAAACTTTTCCTATACTTGCCTAGCGTAAATTATGTTTCCACGCAGAAAAGAGAATGCCTCTAAAAAAACACAATATATTAATTAATATATATAAATAAGAAGTAAAGTTACTGTTACTTAGAGTTTTACTAATCTACCTTACTGTCACCTATTATTGTAACCTACTAAGTAATGGGAACAATCAATTAATGTTATGAAAAAACAATAATGCATTGTGATGCATTTAAATGTAAGTAAATGATATAAGAAAAATAATTGTAACTTTTCAAATAACTCGAATTATTAGGATCAATTGGTTTTTGCATTATGTAAAAGCCTTTGATGATCGAGGGGTCTTGTGTTCGAATTTCGATAACCCACATTCATTGAACTTGAACACATGGTATCCATACATGTGCAAACTCCAAACTAGAGAGACATAACACATAAGCCTTGTGATGCCATTGCCAGAGTCTTTCACGATGCTCCTATCCTCCCTTAGACAAAAAAAAAACAATTATAAGTCGTAGTTTCATGCATTTTTCTAGCATGCTTCTCACTAGTTTTTATTTAAATAAAAATATATATAGAATACGCCGTGTCGATAAAATTGATATGAGATTTGATAGGATGTTAACACCATTTAGTGTTAGTAACCTACTAATACTAATTATAAGGGTATTATAATAACCACCACTTATAACAACTTATTCCCCACCGCCCATGGATTTGGGTTTCATATGTAAATTATACTTTGGTATCCAAACTAATATATTTTTAAGACATACTACCTATAATTAATTTTTTTCATGTCCTAAAAATATTGATTAAAATTTATATAGATCCTGTTTTATGAGGTTTACAAAATTTATAAATAGATCCCGTTTAATGAGAATTCTGGTATGATTTAAGAAATTTGTGATATACTTTGAGAATTCTAGTAGGTTGTATGAAACTTGTGGTCTGGTTTAATAAACTTGTGGTTTGCTTTATGAGATTTCAGGTATGCTTTTCAGGAACTTTTAGTTTGTTTTAGGAAACTTGTGCTCTGCTTTAATAAACTTCTAGTATGATTTATGAGGTTTCTGGTATACTTTATTGGAACTTGTGGTATGCTTTATGATGATTTTATCTGTTTTAAGAAACTTTTGGTATATTTTAATAAACTTGTGGTTTACTATGAGGTTTTTTATATGTTTAAGGAAACTTTTGGTATGCTTTATGAGGTTTTTTGTATTCTTCCATGAATTTATACTATGCTTTATGAGAATTTTAGTCCGATTTAGGAAATTTGTGATATGTTTTAAGAGGTTTATGATCTGCTTTAGGAAATTAGTCGTTTCCTTTCAGTTTTCTGGTCTGTATTATGATTTTTTTTCTGTTGTTAGCATGACTAACGCTAAAGGGTTGGAAAAAGGACACCCACTATTAATTGTAGGCTTTTAAGATAATTGATTTGTGTTGCATTTAATAATTTGTTTGAATTAAAATCCCATAGTAATTACTTTCCATTTTTCTGTGCAATGGTAGTTCAACCAGGTGCAATGCTAGTTGTATCAGTGCAATGGTAGTTAAAAAAAAAAGAATGTAATTAATATGAGTTTTTAATTCCCAAATATTATTAAATGCAACACATTTTTAATACTATAATTAACTATAATTAATTGGGGGTGTCATTTTTCCAACCCCATAGAGAGGTTAGCAAGCAAACTGATCCCTATGTTTTATGGCTTCCATGGTATTATGGTGAGATGGGGTATGCGAAGTGCTGCATGCGTGTGTGCCTTCTATTTATTTTTTTTTATTGAAGGGAGGCAAACGCCAAAGAATTACAAGCTCCTAGCAGCTAGGAACAGAGCACCATAATTCAGGACAAAATAAGCAGAGCCAAAACAAGGGATCAAAAAGCAGAACAAAAAACCACACGGCTCAAGTGCCTTCTGTTCTAATAACTTGTCTAGGGAAGCTAATTCCCAAGATGTCTTCTCTGCAGATTCTATCAAGCTCCACAGGAGGATAAATTAGCTCATGCGTACCAAAGGGATAGACGAGACTGTGCTTCGAGAGCCAGTCTGCGACTCTATTCCCTTCGCGATACGTATGTACTAATCTAACCACCCATTCTCTAGCCAAACATCTTCTGATCGTGCCAAGCAAGGTTGCATAAGGATGAACCCTGTCATCCCTCATTTCAATGAGCTGCAGGGCTAACTTGGAATCAGTTTCAAGAATGAGGAAGCGAGACCCCTTTTTCCACGCTAACTCCAATCCCTGTAAGATTCCCCAAAGCTCGGCAAGTAGAGCAGTACCAGAACCAAGCTTGCTGCAGAAACCTCCTATCCAGACTCCATCATGATCTCGAAGTACGCCCCCTGCAGTAGCCAAACCAGGGTTACTCTGAGCTGCTCCATCCGTATTCATTTTATGCCAACCTTGTGGCGGTTTGATCCAGCCAACTAGCTCTTCTACTCTAGTTTGATTAATGTTCAATGGCGGTGTTCTCATAGATGGGATGGAGGCTTTAACCCACTCTGAAGCCTTGGCTACCACATAATGATGATAAGTCGGAATGGTCAGCTTCACCCCTTTAAAAATTCTCTCATTCCTGCATTTCCAAATATACCAGAGGGTTAGGCAGAAAAAATTGTTCCATTGGCCA